AGAGGCGTGGCCAGGCGGCTCTGCACATTGCCCCATCTGCAGGCACCACTGCTGCAGCTCCCATTGTAGTGCTGGAGGGAGGCCATTGGAGCACGTAGGAGCCAGAGAGGAGCCCCTGACCCTGCTCCCTGGCTGGAGTGCCGGAGCGGGGCCATGCCGCAGCTTCCGGGAACTGCGTGGAGCAGCCCTGACCCTGCTCCCTGGCTGCAGCACCAGAGCGGGGCAAGCCCCATGCCCCACTCCCCAGCGAGAGCTCAAGGGCCAGCTTAAAATGGCCCGCGGGCTGTAGTTTGCCCACCCCTGATGAAAAGCAAGGATCTCCTCAAGGCTCCGATAGGGCTAGAGGACATGTCTCAGTCCCACCCCATCTCCCTTCAGCCATACAGTAAATAGTGCAGTTTTATTAAAGTGCAAGTCTGATCCTGTGCCTACACAGGATTTCTCCCCCCACCCCTCCTGCTTATCAAAGTTAAGGGTCTCAGCTCCTACTAACAATGGGAGTTTTGAACACAGACTGAGGACAGTGTATGCCCTTAAGACTGTGCCAGTGCCTACTGAGTACTGACACCAAACCCAAAATAAAATACTTGTTTAGGCAACAATTCATAATGGCTACACAGTAAACAGGATTATTTAAAAAACAGGTTGCTCCTTGAGCTAAACTCTCCAAAATTCTCTCCTCCCAGCCCTCCAAATGAATTTAGTGTTGGTGAAAGATGTCAGATAAATAGCCCTGGGGACTGAAACCCTCTATTGTATCTGATCTGTGGACAAACAAAGTGCAAGGTTCCTTAACCATGATGAACTGGTGGGATCACTTCTGTGGACCAGTGAAAGTACAGTTGAGTGTCTGTGCCTGCTCATTCCTTACCCTCTCTGCTGATGCTGCAAACAAAGAAGCCAACTGGGACAGAGATATCTGTGCACTAAGAAGATTTAGGGCTGGCCTATACTGGGAACTTACATCAGCATAGCTACATCTCCCAGGGGTGTGGATTTTCCACACTAGGTTGTTGGATGAATTCTTCTGGGAGTATAGCTACTTCCTCTCGGCAAGGTGGATGACCGGCACCAATGGGAGAACCTCCCCGTCAGCCTAGGCAGTGTCTACATTGAAGTGCCTCCGCTGTGCAGCTGCAGTGCTGCGGTAGCAGTTTATGTGTTGACATACCCGGAGACAGAGACCACCGACTCATTTCACACACACCACTAAGCAGCCATATAACGGTAGCACATTTTGATCCCTAGTGAGCTGGAGAACAGCTTAGAAATCACAAACCTGAGAATGGCTAGGTTGGGGGCAAATTGAAATTACTGCTCCTGATTGACCAAGAATTGCACACATCCTATTTTTGTTCTCTCTTCTCCTCTTCCTTGTCCTTTACCACATCCTGCTTGTTCATCTCATCCATCAGTTATGTCTTGTCTCTTTGATTGTAAACTCAATCGAAAAGACAGGGCAGGGTCTATCATTTGCAATAGATTTGTACAGCGCCTAGCACAATGGGGCCCTGACCTGGTTGGCTTCCAGGTGCTACTGGAATATAAATGTAAAACAGAAACCAACATCTTATAATGGACAGTTTTAGGCAGTTCAACCATAGGCATAGCTGCCAATAATAATGAATAATGAACTTAAAATCCATTATTACCACTCTTGAGCTACTTAGAGTTCTGCAGTGACATCCACCCCTTTTATAAAAACATCTCTTACAACTCAACAGCTTCTTTTACAATGAATCCTTGTGTTTCTTTGTATGGAGAGGAGGGGAAAATGTTTATTCTTTTTTCAAAGTTTTTACATTATTATAAGTTTAATGCATCCAGAGGGCACAACATGTTAATAACAATCCTTCACCGCCCTTTCTCACCTTACAGACTACTTACCAAATGCCACATTAAGAATAATTAAAAAGTCCCACTAAAGATGAGGTAAGAGCCAAATGTTGTCTTGCAGTTAGGATATACTGGTGGTAGTTTGGGAAACTGTGTGTTCAGACAGACAGCAACCCACTCAGAAGAGCAGAATAAAACTTGAAAATTCTACTTCATGCAGGGTTTATGTGAATCTTTTCTTCTTGTTTCACATCCTTAAACTTTGCTTTTAGTTTCAGGCTCAAACAAATCTGAAAATTAAAGCAAAACTCAGCAAAACCTACAATTTTTAATTATGGGGCCTATTTTCAGTCCAATAGGTTATAAAGCCACTCATAAGGCATGAAGCTACTGAGTTTTGCATGGTTTCAATTGGGAACCATAGACTGTGCTAGGTTCCCTTGAAAATTGGCTCAAGTTCAATCAAAAGGATCACTAATCTCTGAAGGCCTTTGCAGTTTTAAATGCAACAGAGAGTCCTGTGGCACCTTTAAGACTAACAGATGTATTGGAGCATAAGCTTTCGTGGGTGAATGCCCACTTCGCCCACGAAAACTTATGCTCCAATACATCTGTTAGTCTTAAAGGTGCCACAGGACTCTCTGTTGCATTTAAAACTGCAAAGTTTAGGACAGGCCTTCAGAGATTAGTGATCCTTTTGATTGAACTTGAGCCAATTTTCAAGGGAACCTAGCACAGTCTATGGTTCCCAATTGAAACCATGCAAAACTCAATAGCTTCATGTCTTATGAATGGCTTTATAACCTATTGGACTGAAAATAGGCCCCATAATTAAAAATTGTAGGTTTTGCTGAGTTTT